TGGATGATGTACCTGGCGTACGGACGCGGAAGGCTAGGCTTTTTTCTCGTCTCATCCTCTGATCTGCTCTGAAGATTCAAGCTTGCAACAGACGGCGCCTGCGGAAGGATTGATTTTGAACTCGATGATGATTGCAATGCTCGTGGTGGTCATGATGAGGAGAAGGACGAGGATGGTGGTCAGGATGATGATGATGATGATGATGATAATGAATATGATGCATATGAATACGAGTATGACGACGCTGACGACCATGATGACAATGAGGACGATGATGGTGACGATTGTGATGATGGTGTTGTTGATGATGATGATGATGATGGTGATGGTGATGATGATGGTGATGATGAGATGATGATGATGATGATGACGATGATGATGCTGATGATGATGATGGTGATGATGATAGTGATGGTGACGGTGATGATGGCCAACGCTACGATGATACATGCCGCTTGCTAAGACCACCACGTCGCTTCGACTTTTCGGTGATGCTATTTCTACTGCTGCTGCTGCCGCCGCTGCTGCTGTGGCTCCTGCTGCCGCTGCCGCCACCGCCTCCGCCACTGCCACTGCTTGCGCCGCTATGGCTGCTGCTGCTCCCGTGATACCACTGTTACTGTTGTGCTTGCTGCCATCAAGAATAGCGAAAGCCTCGCTCACTACTCTACTACGACTGCGAGTGCTGCTGCTACTGCAACGGCTCACTGCTACCGCTACTGCCACTGCCACTGCTACTGCTACGCTACTGCTACTGCTATGCTTTCTGCTACGCTAACTGCTATCGCTGACAGCTACTGCTACCGCTGGTTAGTACTACTGCTACTGCTTGCTGCTACTTGCTGGTAATACATTTACTAAGTACCACGAATACAAACTACTGCAAAGAAGCTCAGTGGTACTGCTCACTTCCAAAAGCATCCAGCTGAAGCACCGCAGTCTAGTGCGGTCACAGGAAGCGAAATTATCGCCAGGAGCACGACCCGAAGACAGAGCACAGCGGCTCCGCCTCCGCCCTGCATTCAAGGAGGTATCCACAAACCATGCTGGAACATTGCACTTGTACGCACACGGCAGGGGTGAGTGTGTTTCTCCAAGTCCCAACATGGGGCTTGATATGCTGCTATGCAAACAGCCGAAATCAGCCGAAGAGAAGCTTCAAAGGAAGATCTCCTGAACCAATGCCAGGATAGTGCAAACCAGGCCGAGGCTGCTGTAGGTGCGTCGGGATAGGATCCGGCTGCCCAAGGTCCTGGATGGGGGAAGCTCGGGGATTCTCGGGTGCTGAATCTTTGGACTCCGGAAGCCCAGAGGCCGCCAATCCGGCTCTCCAGCCTCCAAGTTCGGCACGCCTCCAAGAGGATGCTTTGACTCCTGGAGAGCACTGACAGTTCGGTTTCCTCTGAGATGCGAATCCCGTCAACAGTCTACCAAGTCTCAACCACGAGCAAGTCTCGAAGACTTTGAACGCTGTGCCCTTGGGTCGCTGCCAAAACGCACACGAACGCAGAACCCACAGACACCTGGTAATATTTAAGTATCAATGGTAGACCTGAAGAAAATCTAAGGAAAGCCATGCACAGCGACATCGACGACGACGACGACGATGCTGACGAAAAGGATGCGACCACGATTACAGCGAAGACGACGACGTCGACAACGACGACCTAGAGGACCTATAGAATCAGAACAACCGCGCCAGAAACAATGGCAACGAACACGCCGTGGCATAGGTGACAGCTTTAGGTCAGATGATAATGAATCGGGCATGACGATCAACGAGCAATTCTGAAACCCTCGCCTCTGGCCTTTTTGCCACCCGGGACCCCAGCCGGAATGGACTCTTCCGAGGTATTCGCACGCGTCCTTAATCTTCAGAAAGTGTTTCGCGTCATAGCAAGCTATGTCAGGAAGATCGAAAGATTCGTCGCTTGCCGTGGGCAGGTTGCATGCAACCAGCAAGCAACATAATGATTGCACACACCGGCAGAAAGTGGCAAGGAGATCGCGGAACCCAACTAGAAAGCTCAACCTGGCGCAGCTCCAAACGAAAAGAGCTTGAGACGCAAGTATGAACCGCTGCTTAGCTCCAGGCCCATTGGGCGCCGGACGAAAACCGGCGGCACGGTCGCCTGCACCACGATCGCCTGGAAGCGGGTTCAGCTATCAGCTCGTTCCGATTGCTGGCAAAGGCCCAACCCCAGAAGACTTTGGCTGTGAGCTCCGTGAAGAGCATACACGCTCCCGTGAAGACTCCAAGTATCGGGCAGAAGGCTTGAGGCCTTGCGTGGGTGGTTTGGTGCTTTTGGGGGGGCACAAGTTCTTCAGAAACGCCGGCCACATCGCAGACTACATGTAGGAGCCGATATACCTGCGCAACACTATGGCCATCTACCTGGATGAAATCGCTCTGTTGCCAGTGCGAGCCTGCTTTTGCTGCGTTTGACGGAGACGGCTTGGCAGTGCTGCCAACGGAGGGAGTCCTAGATGCGGCAACGCTGGTAGCTGAGCCTGCGCACCTTTCCAAGGCTATTCCGGGATCCCCGCGCCGGTATTTCATCGGGGAAGGAAGCCGTTTCGGCGTCATCCTCGACAGGGACCAGAGGCTCAAAAGCCCATTTCCTCGCTTGACCTTCCAGTCACCAAGCCTCCACAGCGGCTCGGTAGCCACTTCGACTGCCCCGGCCTTGCCTGGCATGTAAGGCCTTGGGGCTTGGGGTTTGGCTGTGTTCCGGATGTGTTCTACGGTCTTGTCAGGCGGCCTGGCATGCAGTGAATTTTTGCCTGCTTAGCACACTCAACAATCCCACAAGCCCAGTTGGAAGAACCTCAATATGTTTCTTGTGCAAGTTAAAATGAAACAGATGAGAACCACACGCAATGATGAATAGTGTCTCAGGTGCACAAGCGATGATTACATGCTGAACGAAATTCTCGTTAACGAATCTCAAAAGAGAGCAAAGAAGCGTGCCAAGGACTCGAGGGTTGAGCTGCAGATGTGGACGGCGCCTGGCCCGGTCTTTCTCAAGGCGGTGCCATACAAAAACATCGGGCATTGCAGGGTCCAATCTGCCTCAAAGTTCTCGAGGCTCACCCTCACGGAGGCTGGCGGGGGCACCTGTGCTGCCGCCGAGGTCCTGTGAGATTCAATCACGCTTGAAGGGCCACAGCACCGCATTCTAAAGCTGCCGCTGCCATGGTGCGGCCCGGGATGAGCAAAGAAGTTACGGCGCCAGCATCGGGCAAGAGCTACTATTTGATGAACTCGTCCGGGCACCTCACCCGCATTCCCACGCGAACTTGCCAAAAGCCCACCTGGCAGTGGCCGCCTGGCATGGCCTGAACCGACAGTGGTGCAGAAAACACACATCTGTATACTGGATCTTGCCTACGGGCACATGCTACCGGTACACAGCAGGGTGTTCCAACAGCGACATTTTCGGGAAGGATCCGTGTGTTGTGCATCTGCACAGCAAACTTCCGAAAAACTCAGCTGCTCATCTCAGAAAGGTTCACATGCTGCAGGCTTGAACCAACACCATGGTCAACTTACCCTGCAATCCCAATCCCCTGGCCATAAGCATCCACATTCATCTGTAATCCGTAATCCTAATCCCCAAAGCCGAAACCCTCGAACGGCCCCTCAAGGGCCCGGCGCTGATCGCTGCTGCGGCTGCGGCGACCGGCGCTGAGCGGGGGCCGTGGTCACCTCCAAAAAGGATTGCATCGCAGCAGTCATGACGAAGACAGCAGGGAAAAAGAATAGCATCATGATCATGATGGGGTGGGTCACTCTGAGGTCAATACGACGGTGGTACGACCCTTCGAGTTTGGGTTGTCAGTCGACAACGATCAGCACCAGCCGGACTTCACTGAATATGCAGTCGTTTAGCGATGTGCATCCTTGATCAAGGCCTGTTTTGGCATGTTTGGCATAGCACCACTGTGCTCCCCTGCCACCACCATCACCACCACCACCACCACCACCACGACAACGGCTACCACCACCGCCAGACCGCCGCTGCTGCTGCTGTGGCTGCTGACGCCACTGCTGCTGAAGCAGCAAACAGCCTTGCTGCAGCCGCAAGCACAAACGGCCGTTTGATGATCCCTCTGTGCACCTGTATGCAGCAATCTGGCTCCCGATAGCTCCTACTCAAGCTTTGGAGAAGGCCCTCTGTATGGCACGTGCCTGCGGGGTCACGACCGGATCGTCCTTTTCCTCGCCAGCCCGTTCACACTCTGCGCGCAGCCTCCACGAGAGAGACAAAAACAACAGAGAGAGAGAGAGAGAAGGACAGAGAAAGAAAGAAAAGCCGCTACTGGCACGATCATCGCTATACCACTGTACGACAGTGCACAGCTTCTTCTGTTAAGACATCATGAAGCTGAATGCACGCCAACACTTCGGCCTGTCAATCTCTGTTTTCAGAGATTTGGCCGCGTCATACTCCTTGCAAGGATCAACAGGGCCGGCATGCAGATGCAGATTGCCTGCTGAAGCGAACCGTCCTCGTTCTCCACGGCAGTTCGCTTCTGCTCCTGGCCGAGCATCCGTCAATGTGCCTACATAGGATCAAAGCCTGTGGGTTTTTCGCCGCTGTGCATGCTGATGGTAGAACATGTAAGGCAAAGTTTAAGGTGGACTCTCATTCGAACTCTGAAAGATGCCGAAGGCTGGTCTCTGCTCGCCTCGAGCTCACAGATCTGCAGGCCTCCAAGTGCTTTTGGGCGTCTTGTGAAATTAGAAGAGTAGTGAGTAGGGGCTACTTCAGGATGATGCACTAAGTAACCGGTTTACTCCCTGGGCTCGCTGTGGTTCTTCAAGGACAGCTTGTCCGGTACACAGTGGGCCCTCTGCGAAAGCATGCAGCCTAAAGTACGGTCAGCCCAGCTTCCTTCGGAAAGGGGTAATACGAGTAGCAATGTCTAGAGGAGTCTAGGAGTCTAAGGCCGGAACCTTTCTGCTTGAGCATGGCGATCGCATCCTTGCAGCGTTTGGCCCCTCCATAGTCCTGAAGTTGGCCGCCCCAGCCCAAGTCAGCACACGACCGGCGCAGCACACCTCACAAGAGCAGCTGCGCAGCCTCCGTTTCCACGCACTGCTGCTTCTCCAACACCAAATTCCTCAGCCGTTCCAGAGTCTTCGCCTCGGCATCCCAAACATAGACCGTTCTTATCCTGAGACTCTGCAAAGTCTTAGACTTTAAGAACAGTTAAGCTCCTTCTTATGATGCAGTCGGGATGTTTGCCTCACAGCGCTTGCGTGTTTGCCGACTCTCGGGCCGAGGCATCGTACTTGGCCTCGTCCAGGTCGGCCAAGTCGCTCACGACCTCCACCAAAAGAGAGTAGATGCCCAGGGATGGAGTCGGATGGAGCACCCCGGAAAAGATGCTGCTTGGGACAGACTGATCAGTCACCCAAGAGAGCCTTCGAAACAGCGGGCTGCTGTCTTGGAGTTGGAGTCACCGGTGGTGGCGGTCTTGGACAGCGCGCACGAGTGAAAACAGCTCTCGCGTACTGCTCCCTTGGGCTGGCGGAAGAAACCGAGCAACGGTCTCCACTTCAGGTGGCGGCGCTTGTGGCACGGCAGCAGGCGGTACCACCTTTCGTGTCTCTTGGCAGGGGCAACATGGATCCATCAGTCGTGCCCAAGAGATCAAGAAAAGCTCAAGTGCTGGTGCTGCCGCGACGAAGAACACCGAGCTGCGATTGGAAGTAAGGTTGCCACCGCTGGTGACTGCTTGGTATCCGGCACGGGCACCTGCACAGCACATTCCTGTACCAAGCGTCTCTAACCAACCCAAGACCCTTTTTTCTCCGAATCCTGGCTTAGCGACGTTCATTTCGCGGCCGTGCCTTCGGGGGTGCCGGGACCGCAGCACTGGCTTTCTGGGCAGCAGGGCTGGCAAGGCTGGCAACCTCAAACTTCTGACGGAAGATGGGCCTGACTGTAGGGAGGACTCATGTGGAGCACGTGCAGCGCTCTGAGATGCCAGCTTGGGCTTGGGGCATCTCAGCCGGAGTCACAACCTGGCGATGCCTACTTCGTTGCAGAAGGTACGGACCACCGGACGCCGAGACGATCACCCAGTGCTCTTACTACTGGCACGAGACAAGACAGGCTACTTGGCCGCTGATCTTGAAAGCGTCTGATGAAGTAGAACGTGCAGGGTAGCATAGTCAGAAGACCTTAGACACATGGTGCAACGCAAACACCTTACAGTAAGAGTAACATGTGGAAAACTGTAACCTAGCAGAGTGAAGTGGATCGCAAGCATGCGGTAGCATAGATTCGCTAGCTTGTGGGAGCATACATACATTTGAGTAAGGCCGTGGTATCAAAAGGGTCTGTGGGACGGGTTGAATCCCCACAGCGCCAGATGATGCTTGATGGCACGGTGCTTCACAATCTTCTGATGCATGCGCTGCATTGCAATACTGCTGTAGTGACATGTACACTGTGAACAGATGCATGCGCTGCACTGCAATACTGTTGGAGTGACATGTAAATTGCGAACAGTACCAGTACTTAGCGAAACACGGCATTGCATTGTATAATATCGTACGACATCGCAAAGTCCTTGAAGATACCATGCATGATTGGATGATGTTACACCCTAGCACAACAGGAGATCAGCTCTTGTAGTCGAGTACGGTCTGATTTAGCTTCATGGGACCCAGTACAACAACATACCAAACTACTGCTCAAATAAAACTACGATGTCATATTTCAAAACAAAGCGCGCACACACACACACACAACCTGTGCAAAGCAAGAAACGCCTGATGTGCTGGCATACTCCTATTTGACGTCGAAGCTTGCAGGAAGCTCGGAGGGCTCTTTCAATCAACCAGAAGTTCATAACCAAGCGTCCAAAATCTCTTATCCTATGTTAGATGAACGATGAACACCAGGCCGGAAACTCGAGCCACTCGAGGATGGGCCTCCCCCAGGCAGCTGAGGGCGATGAGCCCTACCTGGTTCAGTGCATTGTAGCGGTTGATGTGGCACCTTATACCAGGCTTGGGCGGAAAGTCTGGGCTCGAGTGCACGGATCGGTTTGCTGTTGCGGAGCTGCTGAAAGAAGTTTGCATGCGGAGTGGCACTCAAACGCAGCGCTGAGCTGCCGGCTTGTGAAAGAGGATTCTCAGGAACTGTGCCGTCACGTCCACATAGACACTTTTCAGCTCTCGCGCCTTCCACTCAGACGCAGGTTTTGAATCATTCGGCAGGCCATCGAAACCCTGTCAAAGCGACATACAGATTACGGCAAGAGTGTCCTGGAACTGGGAGCGCTCGTTGCTGTCCAGGGACAAATACCCCAGGCGCTTGAACTGCACAGCCTGGACACGGCAAGCGGTCTCACCATAGGAACAACCGACCTTGCGGTCATGTGCCATAAAACGAAAGGCACATGTCTAGCCTCGACAGCTGCAGGGCCGGAGGTCGGAGCCATGCCAGTGAAGAGCTCAATCCTAATACACGAAACAGTACACGAAAGCGCAAGTTGACAAGCAGGGAACGCTAGAAACGCTAGAACACGATCTATACAAAGCCGGAAGGCTGGACCTGGAGATATCATAAGCAACAGTTCGCCTCACGGCATAATTCAGCAACTCGGGCAGCCGCTTCGTAGCAATCTTGCTTTGATGAGAGAGGAACTGGACCTCTGCCGCAAGGTGTCACGTGGCCAACAGCATCTTGAGCAAAGCTTGCCTGCCGAAGATGGACGGCGGTGTCGAACTGGAGGCAGACCTGTCCGAATTTGCGCTGCATCTTGGGTGCAATTCAGTCCGGCGCAGTCGGTGCGATACGATGAGCATCAGGGCTCGGCGGATAAGGCTGGTAACCGAAACCGGCATAGAGAGGAACTGAAACCAGGGCCAGAAGTCGTCCCCAAAGCCGCGAACTCCGTCAGCCCCCAAAGGCGATAAACCTTCTTTTTACCCGAGAACAGATGGCGTTTTTCAGGGGTCTTGCCTTGGCAGGGTTGCAATGGGGTTATTATTACTACTATTATTATCACTATTATTATTATTATTACTACTACTATTATTATCAAAAGAAACCCTGAAGCCTGGCTTTTGCTGGTTTCCAGCTCTGTGGAGGCTGGTTTTCTGTTACTGCGCGCAATTTCCATTACAGTATGCAAGGCATGCAGCCTCTACAGGTGCAAGGGTTTTTCTGCCCGCTTCCACTGGCTTCCAGCCGCTCCACATGGAGGATCTCCCTAGAAACCGCTCCAGTAGGGCTGTTCCATTAACATAGGAGACAAGCACTCCTCGAATCTCTAGATTTAAAAGGTTGCTAACCGCGAAGAGGAGAAACTAACTGGCAACTTCAACGGCTATCCCACCGTTCTGCGCTAATTCGAAGACCGCAGACATGACCTTGTGCACAGCCAGGGAGCGACGTGGCCAGTCTAGATCAGGCTTGCCACCGGCTTTGATGGTCTTGATGCAGCTAGCCAGATCATCGACCAGCATGTTCACCTTACTCTAACGTAAACTTGAAATCTCAATGGGATGGAAGGACTTGTCACCAAATGACTTTGGACTCATGTTTTCGAATGTTCGGTGCTAAACTGCCAACACGTAGGCTGGACGGATCGGCAAGAGCCCCGTCCTGAACAAACCGAGTGCAGCAGATGCACGTGATCACATGCTTCCACCTGCACGACCTGGTCCTTGCCCATCACATCGCCTTGGATGTACTCAGCGCTGCCGACAAAAGGGACCTCGTAAGCGGCGAAGTTGCCTGTCCTCTGCTGTCCGCCCACAAGGTCGTCCACCCTCAAGGTGCCCTTCTCGCAGACGATCTCATACTGACTTCGGTGCGGTGAGGTGCACCCACAGTCGAAGACTGCAGATCTGTTGCCTGGGAACCACAAGGTGCCTGCACACTGAACGATGGTGTCGACCTTGTTGAGAGTGACGTGTGTACACATCACCTTCTCAGGCATTGTCCACCCGAACGCCCAGAGAATGGCAGAGAGCGGGTACCAGCCTTGCTTCCATCAACCATAACGCTTAAATCCATCTAAGCCCGACTACGTAACCCAATAGATGCACCAAGTCATGTCACACATGTACAAACACATGTGAACACATGTTCGAAGAGAGAGCGAGAGATGTACACATAAGTCCAGTCTTTCTATCTACCTGCCGACCTCTCTGTTCATTTCTCCCCGTTTACGATGTATCTATCTCTCTATCCATACACACACACACACGCAGGCAGACGCATGATGTGTGGATCTGCTTGTGCGGTGTATCAGACTTGTCTTCATATCATGCTCGTGTGCATGTATGCATCTTTGTGCATATGTCTGTATGCGTGTAAATACATATATGTATACATACATGTCACAGATTTTTGTGTGTGTATATATATATATATATATATATATATATATATATATGTGTGTGTGTGTGTGTGTTTACCTGCTATTCTTATTATTATTGCTGTTATATATATATATATATATATATACACACACACACGTACGTCCTGCCTTGATCTCCCAGGCATCCCATCGGCTCCCGGGACTTGTCCGTCCTGCCGTTGCCGCCCTGGAGCCAGGCCTCATCCGGTGCCATGAAGGTGAAGGAGGCCGATACCCGAAGCACCTGCCGCGGGTTCTGGTAAAAAATTGCAGCGGCTTCGGGCCTCAGACTGAAGAACTGCGAGTTGTTCGAGCGAGAAGCTCTGGAATATGGATCCACGTTCTCCGAAAGCCACAATGCTTCAACCAAAACGTCATATCCAAGAACCTCGGGCCCGCTTTGTTGTTTTGAATCCCAGAACCTGAAGATTCGAGATAGATACTCCTAAACTTCCGTGATGATGCACGTCTTGCTCTTGCAAAAGCTGACCTTACGCACAGTAAGCACCTCTTTTTGCAGAGAGCGCCTGACCCAGCTCCCCACCCGACAGCTTCTTCTCGATCTCCTTGGTCCTGGAACAACGGCTTTGGGCTGTTGCATGGCTTTAGGAGCTACTTCGGGGCCAGCCACCGTTCTCTCCTGAGCGAATGATACCACATGGTGCCATCCATCCACTGAAGGCCCTTCTCCTCACAAAGCTTTAGAAGCTCGGAAAGCTCAGAAGCCGTTCCTCCCATTGGCTTCTCGGAGTAGATGTGCTTTCCTCGCGAAATGGCCTTTGCTATCTTCTCGTTCCGCAAGCCAGTTGGCAGCGGGATGTAGAGCACGTCTACATCATCACGCTCAAGCATCTCGTCATAAAGCATTCCCACACCACAATCGTGGGTTGTACAGAAGTCCTGAGCTTTTTGGCGATCGCGGGAGGCGACGCCGACGACCTCCATGCCATGCTTGAGGCCTGGGAGGACTTTGCCAACAATGGAAGCTGTGCTCAGAATGCCGATCTTCACCTTCTCAGCCATCGCACCCAAGCAGCAAACGATGGCGGAGATGAAACAGGCAGACTGGAATTCTGAGCCACACCGAAGGGCGCCGCTACAAAAACTCAAATGAGGAAGGCATGTGCCCGAGCAGCACTATTCCAAACAAGATGCCCGCCACCCCCCCAGGGCAAAAACGCCCCAGCCAGCTCTCAAAAGTGTACAACACACTTCGGCCGCGACTGAAATCTCTCCATTCAAACCCCCTGCAACTCAGAAGCTGGTGTTGAGAAGATGGGCTGCCTACCGTTTTGGGGAGTGGGAGGCCATGGACTGCATGTTTCAGAGTTTGGGTTTCGACTTTTCGTTTCCGGTGCTGCCAGAATTCCCTGGCCTCCACGACCGCGAAAGGAGTAACCACAGGCTAGAGACTACAGGTTTCGGGTTCCAGTGTGTTCCCGCGTAGCTTGATCCTTTAGGGTTAGGGTTTCTAGGGTCTGGGGAGCTCCCGACTGATATATCGGACACGGAGCACACAAGTTGACATTAGGAGGAGCGGTGGATCTGCTGGCGTCGCCTCCTGGGGAAACTCGCAGAAGCGCGCTGTCTGCCATCCCTTCCTGGAAGTCAGTTCAGGGTCCGTGGCCTGGTGTCCGAGGCTTGAAGCTGTTCTTTCTAACATGGAGGCACTTAAAGCCCAGGCACAGCTACAAGTAGCTAGTTCACAGAAGCCTGCCCTGATCCTCGGAAGAAGTACGCTGCTGGTCTTGTTGCTCATCTGGATAAGCTTTTTCGACTGCGCTGCAAGCAGCCGGTAACAAGGCTCGGCTGTTGGGACAAGCAGGTCGATCAGCCAAGCAGCGTCTGCTGCGAATGGGAGAGCAGCTCTGTAACCTTGGCGTGTCGGATGTCTGCGATGCTTGAGTCCACTCGGGGTGCTACAATGTGCTACAGGTTAGCTGCCGAGTCCGCCTTCTCCAGTACTGCCAGTAGCGTTTTGCGATTCCGGTAGCAGGATGGTTACTGACGAAGTGTGCGGATGCGACGAGCTCCCAACTTTCGATGTCCTCGTTTAAACCACCTCGATCCACAACCATCTCGTCGAAATCAGGCGGCAAACTCGTCCAGAACAACGGCATGAGGACGAGTAAGGCAAGGGACAAGCGGAAAGCAACAGCAGCAGCAACAGCAAAGAGCTGGCGCTGTTAGCCCGGTAACCCAGGCAATTCATGCGTATGTCTTTTCCATTTTAGTACATAAACATCCGCTCAGCGGGCCTCGTCATGAAATCAGAGCTCTCACAGCACACGCCAGCCCTACAAAAGCTTGCGCAGCTCGAGGCCCTGGCAGGATAGTCGGGCTCCTGCTTACTACGAAATTTCCCATAATCTCTGTTTTCAAGCTTGGGTAGTGGACTTTTGGATTCTGAGTGGCTGTTGGGCTTTGGATGACAGGTGGTGCGTGCGGGCTGCAGTACATCGTGTGCATAAGGCTTACCTTAGATGCAACTGTGCCCAAATTCGCACTATGCCGAGACATGCTACCAGTATGTTGTGGAACATCTGCGATTAATGATACGCTCTTATCAAACACTTCGACATGTACAATGCCAGCTTGTGCAGCACTCTGCCCTCTTCGAACAGAAGTGCCAAACTGTCCTCGGAAGTGCATTTGACGATCCTGTACTTGAGCCTTGCACAGCAGGAACGGGGCGAAGAGTCGCAGAGTGCTCCAAGTGGTCTCTATCCCGACCTCGCACCGCCGCCCGACGCCATTAGAGAAGCGCCTCAGCCTGCGGCACACTGCAGACTCAAACATGTCTGGTAGACCAGCGGCACCAAAACACCTGCCTCGCTTGTGTAAAGCTTTCGGATCATGGAGGCGAACATGGCATCCCGCGGCTGCTTCGACAAGCCCGGCATTAACGTAGAGACTAGGACTTGGGAGTCGCCCAATCTACAAAAACTGTTTGGCAGGTCATGGTTGGCGATAAACTGAGCATGTGCCCTGCATGCATCAGTTTGGCACAGTGCGTGCTGTGACATGGATCATCTTGCTATGTTACCAGCAGCTGCAACCCACAGAGGGATCGGCGCAAGCTTGCACTGAGGTGAAGCAGCTCAAAACACCTAGTTCCAAAACGTCCTACTAGTTCGTTCGAACGTTCTGCTGCGCTGCTGCCAAAGTGCAGGGAAGCGGTGCACGAGCACGCCAGAAGTTGCTAACATCTCCTGAGGTGCGAGGCTGGCGACAGGCTTTCGAAATCTTTCAAGCTTTCTGGCTGAAGGCTTCCAAGATTTGGGTTCAAGGTCTTCCAGTCGCTGGCACAAGAGCAGGTCAACGCTGCCTGGCCTGGTGAAGTGCGTCCACGGACCTTCGCTTGTCCTCTAATCGCCTTAGCATCTCGCAGACTTGTTAGTCTCAAGAAGATGTTGTGACTTGTGACATTCTTGTCGTCGATTTCCCGTGATGACGGCTACGACGACGATGACGATAACGATGACAATGAAGATGAGAGGAATACGAAAATGAAGATGAACATGGTGATGGTTATTGCTTTTAGCATGTTTATGATGAGGTGGCGGTGATGGTGATGACGATGGTGATGATGGTGATGATGATGATGATGAGGAGGAGGAGGAGGTGGAGGAGGAGGAGGAGGACGGTGATGGTGATGATGTTGATTATTATGATGATGATGGTGATGATGGTGACAATGATGGTGGTAACGACGGCTCAACGCGGTGAAAGCATTGAAGGTCTCGTTGGTGCTGATCAGGTACCTGCTGGTCGCTCGTCTGCGCCGGCTTCAACATCTTCAGCGCAAACTCTTGCTGTTGCCACCTTATCTTGGCTACCTTTGATAGACCTCCTTGTCCGATCACGCCTGTGAAACATACTGCCTTCACATCCAGCATGTGAAGTGGAGAGTCGTGCATCTGCGGCTACTGCACTCCTTTCTCAATCTTTCTCACATGCACCGGCAGCTTGGGGCATCATATTAAAGCCACTCGGTCGGCTTAAAAACACCGGCATGGATGCCTTTGTCATTGGCTGTTGTTGAAGCTGCTGTTGCGGATGCTTGTGCCGCACACACCCCAAGCTAAACAGGGCCCGAGGACGGTGCTGCTTTGTTTTAAGTTCCAGGGCCAGGACCAAATGCACATGGCGACACAACTCGCGTGGCTTTCGAACAAGCCATGGGAACAAACGTTCTGCTTACAAAGGACTGGCACAGCCATGAAGATGCTGAGCAACCTGTTGGACTCTTGGACCAACTGAAGCCTTTGGTTTGTTGAAACGAAACGTATCTTGAGCCCCTGCTCTTACCTGGTCCGAAAGCAAAAAGATCGTCAAGCACTGATTGGCGGATGAATGGTTCAAAGCTGGGCTGCAGTCTGCAAACTACACATAACGCTGCCGCCATCAATGTCTACCATGTTCAACTTTATGACGCCCCGAATGGAAAAAAGGAGCACAAAGCACACACAAACGCAAAAACATCGCAAGTCCAAAACAAAAAACATACAAACCTCAAACGCAGCCGGCGAAAAATGCAAACCCGGAAAGCCAAGACACGCAAACGCCACAAAAGCGTGAACGCGGAAGGCAAAATAATCCGAAGCGCCAAAAACTCGAAAAACAAATAAACAAACAATAAATGCAAAAAACAAATTCTCAATACCTACTGTACACAGTCTGCGGCCCAGATAGTTTTAAAGGAGTAGCTGTCTCTGAACACATAGAGCTGCTTCAGCTTGGCTCAAAGAACGGAAGCCTCGAGTCCTACAATCTGGATCTCAGACTCTGCACCGATCAACCTTTCTACGAGCACCCCGTACGGAAGCCCCAAACCCGAAATCTCACAAGCCAATCCTCCCGAACGCAGGCCGACCGGGTCCAGAGCTGCTCATTGGCTCGCAGCTCTTCGCGTCGGGCGTGCTGGGTTTTGAGCTCGGCAAGCTCCTTTCGGCTCGAATTTTCGAGAGATCACGGCCTGTGACTTGTAGTAAGGCATTTAAGGCCGCCACTTTTGGCAACAAGAGTACTAAGGAAGAAAGACGGGATATGAGTCTCGGGGGCCAGTCCACCCGGGGTCTCGGCTTCTGGATCACACACTTCCATGCTACACTTTGTGATTCTCGCGGGACCCCTCGCAACCCACAAAACGGACAGACAGTCTTAGACATGCTGGCGCTCGGACGTATTGGGCTCAGCCATAAACTGCATAAATCCTTTTGAGACCACACTTGCGTACTTTAATCTGTGAGTCTATGTAACTACGCCCGACAGTCCAGCAGGATCTCTTCCTGCATGGCTTTTACAGCCTCAGGTCACTGCCCACTGCCACGGTATCGCAAACATGAGCGCGAGGTGCACACGTCGACCGCAGCCAAGGCGGCCAAGACGCACGGCATTCTGCCAAGGTGTCTTGCAAGCCAGCAACCTCAGGAGCCACTTGATCGGATTTGTGGCGATGCTTCTCGAGTGCTATTGAAAGTGCATGCAGACACACAGGCAACTGGGCATCCATCTGATGCTTTGCTTGGCTCTTCAGGCCTCAGTGTGGGACGCTCTTACCAGGCAGTCAGAGTAGTTCCGATCCAAGCCAGCCTCCTTTCGTCTTTGAGGAGATGAAGCGATGTCTCGGAAAGCCGGGCAGCCATATCGTGACGAAAAGTATCTCTTACGTTAGATGTAGATCTCCTTCATAATTCATACGAACTCATGCGACGGACGACCAAGGGCAAGTCCCAGCATGCCGCGGCAACGGCAAGCACCAGTGCCTGTCTCGACTGATGTTTACGTTCACTACCGCAACTGTGCAAGCAGGCGCACGGCTGCTCGAAGATCAATCCGGACCTGAAGCATTTTTGGTTCCTACCGTTCAGGCACAGTAGCAGAGATGGTACTTGACGATGATGGTGATGAGTTCTCATCACGATGGTGATGGCAATGGTGATGATGATGATTACGATGGTGGCCATGATGCAACAATAATGGCATTGATCGGGATGCAACAATGCTGGCATTGCTCGTGATGCTGGTGACAGTGACTATGGTGGCATGATGATGGTGGTGCTGGTGGGTTCCGGCGGTGTTACTACAAGTGGAGCTCGTGCCAGTCCTGGTATTTGTCCTGGCGGTGATAACGATGATGACGATGACGATGCTGATGATGAGGATGATGACACTGATGAGGACCATGAGAATGATGAGGATGATCATGGTGATGATGATGATGATGACGATGATGATGATGATGATGATGATGATGACGACTGCTGCACCAGCGACGCGGTGGTGACACTGCTGGCAGTGTTGGCGGTGGGGGACAGGGTGACAGCGGCTGGCAGTGATGATGGTCGCAGTGTTGGTAACGGTGGTGTTGGCAATGGTGGAAACAGTGGCGGCTGCGATGATGCTGCGGCTGCGCTAAAGTGATTCAGCATGGCGACTGTTACGAGTGGCATCATCAGGACGGTGAATGCGGAGATCTCAGCCGTCTCACCCGTACATGGGATGTGCGCACTCACGCGACCTCCAGAGATCGCTCAGGAAGTAGCCTCAGCTCGCTGGAGAAAGCCAACATTGCTGGCTCTGCTTTGATTCATCCGTTCTCTATCCCGAACTTGTCTTAAGATCCGCAGGCCGAAGGCCGTTCTTGGCGGTTTTTTCGAAGGCAGAACACTCATCCCCTTCTGACGGTTACAGTTGCAACCGTCCTTAACGGCATGTCCCCGTACTGGTCGGAGATCATTCTCCGCTGTAACGGGGTTTACAGGAATTATCAAACTTTCGGAACCGCGCAATGTGGAGAGGCGTGTGACTGCGCGGATACAAGTTGTCATTGTTGGCTTCTGGCGCTGGCAGGGAAAGACCCGACAGCGTTCTGTTGAACAGGCACCAAACTGAAGCAGCTCAAAGAGACCCAGAGGCTTCCATTCCGCTTGTGGGTTCATGGTTAACATCAGGAGAGTATGAAAGTTGAGGCCTCCTCGCTAGTACCTCTGAAGCTTCTAAGCTTGTCTCGAGATCCCAGCTCCAGCAGCAACGCCGTGGCTGCCACGATGAGTGGGCCCAGGGCTGCCAGGGCCTAGTGCAGTCGAAATACGCAAGGGAGGATTGTCTTTTCTCGTTTGACTTTTCAGGATTCTTGGAGCCCCGGGAACGCCTACTGGATTGATGCTTCTGCTGGCGACTGGTGGTCCGGGAAGTTTGGCTTGATCTGATGGGTCCGAGCCACCGGTGGGCGTCTTCGGATCTGATCTTGAAGCTTCGGACAAAAATGCAGCACATTCAGTCCGCTAAGGTGCAAGTGCACCGCATTCACCAAGCTCGGAGCCATGGCTCTGCCAGGATTTGGCCTGAGTTGAGACAACTTTTCAGACTCCAACGCTGATTTTTAGTTTCGGATTCACCAAATGTTAGACGCCCTCAGCTCACTTCGGGCCCGGACTGCCATGGGACAGCCGGGCTGCTGCAGGATGCAGACTCAACCATGCGCTCTTTCGCTGAGGAGCCGGGAGTTCTGGTTAAAGGATGTTGAAGGATGGCAGCTCGCTCCGGATGAGGTCGTAGGCGGCAGATGACAGCGGTTGTCAGCTCTGTCTTGTTTGCGTGCATCACACCTTTCGTGTTCTGGTAGCTTCTTGCAGAGGTACTCGAGCAGGTCATGAGGTCTGCTTCTCTAATTCCACCACTGAGCTCTCAGGCAAGAAGCAAAAAGGTGAAGTCGTGCACACTCCTCATGTGAAAACAGTTGTGGCAGCAACAGTGCAAATAGCTGTGCAGCTCCCCCTTTGGCGAGCATCTGACATATAGCGTCTCAACACCGCATGGAGCGAAGGGTTGGAGTCTGTCAATCTCAGCAGATCCTGATCTGTCTCATTCCCGCGACCTTGCAGATGCCAACTTGCAGTTACATTACTCACCCTACAGTAAACTACCCTGCATGCTCCAAGGAACTGAAACTGTAGCGCGGACCTCCCCATGCCTGTGCGACGGCGGATCGGCCGTAGCCAGGCCTGTCTCCACGCTCATGCTACTGGCTGAAAGGCGCTAGCTGTTAGCCCGAATATCAGCAGCTGGCCTTGCTGCCAAGTAGCAGAACAGCATACCAACCTGCCAGCGCAGACGGAACAGCGAACCATTGCAGCCAAACGAACTCCTCTGTTCTGGCACCACCGCATGCCATTGCTGCTTTGGCTGCTACTTGTGTGCCGAAGGCCTGACTGTGCTGAGACCTGACAGTCAACGGGGTGAAGAAAGCTAAGGTCAACTGCGCGGTGCAAGGATGCTGGGCTCAACGACCAGTTCTTCCACATGTATTTCCACAGGGTTGCGCGGTTGGCATTGACCTCAGGCAACCGAGCTCAAGAGCACACTTCAAAATGAAAAAAGCTCCTAGTGGTGATCTATGACTCCGGCGTTGACACATTGAAGCAAAAACACTTCATTAACTAGAAACATGACTCATACATCGGAACAGATACTTTTCCGGAGCTAGGGCCGACACAGATGCTGCGACAGCAACAGCGTACATGATGACGTCCTCTACCAATGCAGAGTAGTCAGTTGAGGTGCGCCGTGGTGTTGCCGTTGCGGACATGCTGAAGTGCAAAGCCATTTTACACAGGTGCCTGGAGTGGGTCCAACACATTGGCGCAACCTCGCAAACTCACTGCTGTTCGTCCGCCACGAGTTCAGAGGGCGCCCGATGGCCGCACGAGCCCGCATGCGCATCAGATCAGAAGCACAAGCGCAGCAGTTCCAACTTGCTGTCGCTCCAAGCGTCCGCATGACGTCGCCATGTCAGTAGTTCTACAAAAGGGCGCATTGTACTGCACTCATGAAGCAAGTCGAGAGAGGCGATACTGTCCAGAGCGCTTCCACGGACATCTTAATCTTGCAGCCGGTGACCCTGCCCGCCAAACAGCTGAAATTCATCACTCCGTCCTGGGGCAGGGGTCGTTGCATCCCTTCAAGGTCATGGTACTGCCGTACTCAGTGCCGCTGCATTCAAGAATGACAGAAACAAGGTCATGGTACTGCTGTATTCAGTGCCGCTGCATTCAAGAATGACAGAAACCGCTCAGCTTAATCATGTGCCGCCTGTGTCACGCGACGCCGATTGCGCACCTTAGGAGAGCATCGATATTTTAACTTTAAGTGGTGCGAGGAACATGTTGCAAGAGTTGCTCAAGTCCACAATGTCCCAATTTACACATGTCCAGACAACTGTAACAAGCTGGATTTAGACTTAGTCTGGGACCTGATCTCGGCACTTCAATTCCACGCCGCCATCCCGGTGGAGCAGCAGGCACCCAGCGGCCGCCCAAAAGGCTAACGAGTCCAGCAACCGGAACTCGAAATTTGGCCTCCAACTTCTGAGCCGTCTCCCTTGATGGTAGAAAGACCCGGTCCAGAGACAGGAATCTCCAGAGGTATGCGAAAGAAACGGCTGACACGGTTTCCCACTGTACTGAACCACTGAACACGGACAGCGCGACTGTAATCGACAACGGATACCACTTGTATGGCACCTCGACGAGTCCAAGCAAATTCGTCCGCATGTCTGGGAGGTCCAGAGCGTGTTGGGTCAATGCACAGAGCCCGATGCCCCACAGCCCGTAGTTCATTCGCAGGTCGGCAGAATATCTACCCTGTTTCTGGAGCAGAGTCATCAAAAAAAGAAAGAAAAGATTGCTGCCAGTTGTATTCACTATGAGCCAGACCAAGAAGCGCAAGGAACCCAGTCCCTGCTCCAGAAACGGCATAAAGGAGATGGATGCCTGTAATTCAGTCAGAGCCAGCAGCGCATCTGAGCCGCTGTAGAGGGGTCTGTGCAGTGCTGACAGAAAGACCGGAGCCAACTGCTTGCGCTTCAAATTGGCCAAACAGCAAGCGAAAAGCTTCGTCGTAGTCGCGCGAGTATCCAGCCCAAGTGAGTTTAGCAACCAGGGAGTGCTGCTACATGAGGCATAGAGTGCCAGAAGCAAGCGTGTGCCAATGGGGCACTCCGCAAGCTGCGAGAGTGCTAAACCCATCCGTGCCACCAGATTGTCTCACACAATGTCTCGAGCCACAAATCTCCCCTCGCAGCTGATGCACCGAAAGGCATCCGCACACGGTGAGGCACTGTGAAGCTTGGATCCCGGCAGCAAGGTGATAATGCTTGCCTCGGCCCGATGGATAGGATCGCAGCTGCACTCCAAATTCGACTGGCTTCCATCCTTGTCCACGGCTGTCGATGTGTCGCTTCAGAAACCAGCCAAGCATCCGCTCCTTCATGGCACAGCTGACCATCCCATCAAACGTAACGTAACTGCAACACTAAGCACAAGCAACACTACACAATGCGGATGCTGCCGAGTGCCTCATGTTCCGGCTTGGCCTTTATCACATAGAGCATCTGCTCCGACCTTGCATGAGGCTCTATGAACAGCGCTAACTAGCCTAAACTTGTCTGGTTCTGCGATGGGTCGTCGAAGACCAATAACCGGTGCCCGGAGTGGGTAGTTCTGTTGCCCGCGCAACCCCAATGGACGGATGGCCGGGCGGCAAATCTAATGAATCCAATCGTTCAATCAGCGGAGCACGATGTCACTCAAGTCGCTGTTCACATGTCAGCTGCACAACACTACATCATCGGTGGCGCGATGACGACGCGAATCGGGAATGGATGCATCTTGGATGTCCTAAACACAAGTCGTCGCCACTCCCGACAAGACACACCCGAGCTCCAGTGTATTGGCTGAGCAGCCTATGGGCGGAGGTTGTTTAGGTTGGGATGTCACAAAGGGGGATGAACTTATAACTATTAACACAATCGAGAGGCACTGAATTGCTTGCGAACGAACTGTCACATTGTCGAATCTTCCGAGCGGATATTCTTTGGACTCACCAGTGCATTTCAAGTCACTCTTTGGGTGACAGGAGGTGAGCCAAGGAGTCCTGTCACAGTGCAGAAGCCAGGGTGGAGGATCAAAAAAAATTTAAAAAGGATCAAGAACAAATTTAGGCTGAACGGACCAAGAAAGGGATTGGAGATTTGCGGCAAACAACGGCAAGTGTTATTCCAATATCTCTCCGCGTCGAAACTGTGCGAAACTACGGTGTCAATCCCGGAAAAGTCTGGGACCGCGTAGAGGGTTCGAACGGTTGGCGTATCTAGAATTGCTGGCCACGGCTGCGTGCGTCAAGCAGCTCTATTCGCCAGGATGAGATTCCAATAGTTCAGCGTCGGAATTTTGCGACGCTATATATATGGTGTCAAGGCCACAAAAGGCCACAAAAACCTGGCACAGCGTGGAGGGCTTCGACGTTAACAGTTGCCGGCCATGGCTTAGACATTAACAGTTGCCGGCCATGGCTGCGTGCGCAGGTTATTCGGAACTCGCCAATACTTAGGGGGGCAACAGTGGTTCGTGACTTGGCTTACTAAACCTTTATGTTTCACGCTCGTGCACACAATGAAAGGCCAATGCCCGATCAAACCCGGAGGGGTCGCTGGAGCACGGGCTCGGGTTAGCGGGTTCTCAACTCCTCAGACCCTCAAATCCGCAACTGCAGATGTGTTCGCATCTGAGACATGATGGCGCTAATTGACTCGGAGTGGGAGCGGTACATGCACACGAGTCCAGGTGCATACTGATGCACGCCGAGGCATCCCAGCGTCGGCTGGCTAGGTACTCGCTGAGAGAAACGGCCTTCCGGGCATCTCGATTGGATGCCCGGCGCTCAGGCGTGGTTGCCGACTCAGCCTTGCGCGTTCTGGCACAAGGCATAGACATACATATGTCAGGGTTCCAAAGCAAACCAAGACAAGCTGGGAGCCGCGCCTGGCCGGGAGCGTGGGCATCAGGTAAATGCGCGGCCTAAGCGTGAACCGGAAGGTCGGTTGGTTCTAGCTGGGCCAAAGCAAACTGGGAGCCCGACCTGACTCGGCAAAGACCCATGGTCTTCAGAGGCTTTAGGAAGGCACATGGCAGAAAGAAGCAGACGAACACAAGCGCAGTCGGTAACTTGTAAAAGCGGAAAGCGGACCTTCTGCAGCGGGCGAGTTTCAGGTGCTTCTGCGGCCTTCCAAGAGAGAAACAGAAACTTTCCAAAAGTCGGGAGACCGCATCATGTTGCAGCATGGTATCATCATCGGCAGCAGACTTTCTGCCCTGCGCAGGCGAACGTGAGGCTGCAGGCAGGAGAACGGGAACCGGGGCATCCTGGAACACCGGAGGCTTTTTTCGCGGACTGGGAAGACGGTGGTTTCCAAGGAGATATGCCCCAGATGAACGAGAGCGGTGTGGGCATGCTCACAGGCTCCGTGAACGCAAAAGTCCGAGCAGAACGCGCACAGAGCTTGCACGTGGAAGGATTCTCCAGGGCGCCGTTGCAACTTCCAGTGCCTAGCGGCCTCGTCGCCAACCAGGACTAGAACGTACTTGCCGGAGCAACTTCTCGATGTCCCGAAGAGGGTCCGGACCAAGCCCCATGCTGCGAAGGGCTTCTTGCAGGGATGCGGCTGTCCGGGACAGGAAAACCTTTGCTAGCGACGCGGCTGTGCCGGCAGGGACGGGCTGCACTTCTTCGTCCGCCGCGCGGTTCCACTTCTTGGCGGCACTCTCATACCTGCACAGAGTCCGCGGGAACGCAAAAACAGTGGTGCCCTCACCATCTGACCAACTGTCGTAAGCCCCGGTCCTGTGGAACTGTTACGCAGAAGTTCTTCCTTCCTGCATCAAGAAGTTGGAATCGTAGAGCAAGGCTCTATCGGGAAGGGGGTGTTCTGGGCTCTCAAGTTCTGCAGCCGCGAACTTGAAAATTGGCCCAGGGTGGCGCCGAAGTTCTCCAAGGCAGTGGGCAGGCCCATGTACTTTTTCAATTTTGCCGATGCCACGACTCCTGGGCCTGCGTCCCGGACGCAGAACCGGGCTGAAGACGCTGCACCCCGCACCACCAATCTGCCAGCAACAAGGGCGCAGGATGGCCGACCCAGTCGTTTGTTTGGTAGCGACCTGCTGCCACTTCGTCCGTGCAGACATCAAGGTAGTGCTTTTGGAACGCAAGTGCAGCTTTGTGTTCGGCCGGCTGCTGGGCACGAAGAGTTTGAAAAAGGCCGTGAACCACTGTGTGGAACAACAAAGCTGTTGGAATCGAGCGCAAGCACTGGAAGCCTCGCTCGAGAAGTGGCAGGGGTTTCTGGCCGGCAGGCGACAAAGCCTTCTGCATGGTCTTGTAGATACCATTTCTGTACGCGAGCAGCTTTTCGTCTCTGGTCAGCTTCTGGTACTTCGGTCTGGTGCAGGCACCTGTCACGTGCGCCCAATCAGCAACACGGTCGAATTGGGGACAACGGCTTTACGGGCCAACTCTTCGCCCGCATGTAAATCAGCATGGTACCATGTAAATCAGCATGGTACTGGCAGCATGCAGTCGCCAAGTCCATAGCAGCAAATGTGTGCGAGCACTCTAGCACGGCACGACAGAAGACCTTGTAGCTTTTCTCAGCTTCTTTGTTGGTCAACGCAAACATTAGAGGGTTGAATGTGCTGCGGAAAGCAAAGACTGAAGAAGAGGCAGCGTAGTGCTTGGAAATGGCGCCCACAGTGAGAAGCACCCAGTCGCCTTCTGTCAACCGAAAGGTTCCATCCCCACAACAGCTTGACGTAATTTTTGTTGGTGAGACGCGTCAGCGTTGCCTGCAACAAGGCAGGGTTGCAGAAAACTACTACTGTGCAGTCGCGGGTGTGTAGCTCCGCGGCAATTTTGAAAGCATCTGGGACAGCGGCATTTGGCTCCTGCGGCAACTCTGAGACTGTGCCAAGATTGCGCCTGAGCTGGTCCCAGTCTGCTTTGCGCCACTTGAACTTGGAGTTCTTGTTAGCACGCGTTCCTTTGTGCGGACGATGGTTTTTTAGCCATGTCTTGAGCCAGTCATCACTCACAGGGCGGCCTTCCTTGTGATGTTGTTCAACAACTTTGGCTGGGTCTTGAATGTTCACATGAGCCTGCTGCTGGACGTGTTCTTTGAGTGCATTCTCAGCGGAGGCACACAAGGGATTCCAGCCTTTCGAGGCTTTGAAATCTCCATGCAATGCAAGAGGAGTGTAGGCGCGGGTAATCCGCTTGATCTCATCCGTCCACTGATAGGTGGAATACCCACGCCAGCCTTTTCTGTCCTTGCAACAATCACAAGAGTTGCACCACAGGAAAACTTTGAACCCATCCGCTTGATCGTAGTATTGATGGCGGATGTTCAAGACTTCACCTGGAACAAGTGTCTGGGCCCATGCTTTTTCATGCTGCAGGAAAGCTTTCTTGCCCTGAAAAGGGGTTTCTAGCTGCACACGACCGTCCACGGTGTAGATGTCAACACGCTCCGCTAGGGGCAACACTCCCGGCCCTCTCTTCTGCTGCCTATCTGCCTCGCCAGCCGGAGCCTCACCTTCTGCAGCACCGGCAGCATTGGCGCCTTGTCCCTGAAGCTTTGGGGCCGGCCGCGCACGTGCAGCAACACATTTCGCCTTGGCCTGAGTCCGTCTGGTTGGGCCTTGGCTGGGCGTTTGCCTCCCCCGGACATGGCAAGAATGACAGGTGAGTCCGCAGTGACGGCAGGGAGACCCGGATGGCGTGCGTCTGCCCGAGCTGCCTCCAAAGATTTTGTGCACTTGGCGCCACCCCCGCGCATGTGTGGCAGCGGATTGGTCTTTGAGGGCAGGGGGCGCAGTTCACCCTCAGAGCCCGAAATAAATAAAGGTCGGGCAACCTGGTTTAAAGGCAGCCCGAGTCGCTGCCGCACGTGCGACTCCATTGCGTCTATGGCAGCCCGACAAGGGGGATAGAGCCTTGCTATCACCCATCAAAAAAAACTTGCGCAGCTTTGACATGCACAGACATGGTGGAGTTAGACCCAATCAGCAGTCGTATGCTGCATGAGGAACAGTTGGGCACATCCAGCCTTCCGGATCGCGAAAACCTTCCTGCGACACGAGTCACATATGGCAAGGCACCTGCCAAGGCACAGACGGGGGCGTAACAGACATGCTGCATCAAAGGTCCTGGATACATGGCCCGGCCTGGGCAGCGTTTTCTTGGCCGCCTGAAAGGCCTCTTGTGTGGCCTGCACTTTGTCCTTTTTCAAGACTCTGCGCAACAAAGCCTTCCTGTCGCAAAGTTTGCACAGCTTCTTGCCGGCCATGGCAAAACCCAACAGCCGTAAACTACAGCAAAAACATACCTTGCAGCCAGAGCTTCTAAGCCACGTGACCTTGAATCCGTTTAGGCTTTGGTGTTTCGGGTGCTTCGCTGTGCCTCCAGAATCTCTGTTTCCTCTTTCTGTTCTGACGCCTTCGGAAAGGGTGCGCAAGCTGTCTACACTTTGCCTAGGATGTCTCCTTTTGACACAAACTTTGCGGACATGCCCTCGGTGATCGCATTCTGCAAGCAAGATGAACCAAGACAGGATCAATCAAGCGGTCTCTGCTCCTCCACTTCCAAATCATCGCACCAGCTCTACTGTCAGGATAAAACATCTACGACTACTCTACAAATTTAGCACTACTGGTTCCAAGAGGACAAAACATTGCTGACCAAGACTGTTGGCATACTGGTACTGCCGTGCTGGTAGTGGCGGTTTGGCGAATATTCGAAAACCGAATGATGTCGTGCTACTTACCACTACTGCTACTGCTGCTACTACTACAACTACTGCTACTACTTCTACTACTACTGCTGCTACTACTACTACTACTGCTACTACTACTACTACTACTACTACAACTGCTACTACTGCTGCTGCTGCTACTACTACTACGACGACTACTACTACCACTACTACTACTACTACTACTGCTACTACTACTACTACTACTACTACTACTACTACCACTACTGCTACCACTACTGCTACTACGACTACGACTACGACTACGACTACTACTACTACTACTACTACTACGACTACTACTACCACTACTACTACCACTACTACTACTACTACTACTATTACTACTACTACTACGACTAGCACGACTACTAGTACTCCTACTACTAGTACTACTACGACTACTACTACTACTACTACTACCACCACTACTACTACTACTACTACTACTACTACTACTACTACTACTACTACTACTAGTACTAGTGCTTTTTTTTGATCCGTCAGCTAGACAATCTCCATCCTGGTCCAAGTCTTGTGCCACGGTAGACATGCCACGAAAACAAACGGACAGCGTCATCTTGCCCAAAGGCTCGCAGCGAGGCTTCGCTGATCAGTGTCGAAAAGCCGCGAGTGGCCGCGAGTTTGCGAGGCCAAAGAGCGAGGAAGCCGACAAGGCCCAGTCATCGCACGCATGCTATCTGGAAGCCCAGAAGCCAAGAAGCGAAGAAGCCCAGAAGCCAAGAACTCGAGAAGCCAAGCTGCCCAAAGCCAAGAAGCCAAGAACCCGAGAAGCCAAGAAGCTAAGAAGCCGGCAAGGAAGCCTAGAAGCCAAGAAGCCAAGCGGCCAAGAAGCCAAGAAGCCAAGCCGCCCGGAAGCCAAGAAGCCAGGAACCCAAGAAGCCAAGAAGCCAGAAAGCTAACGGAGACCAGAAGCAAAAAGCCGCGGAGCCAGGCAGCACAGAAGCCAAGAGCCCAGAAGCCGAAGGCTGCCAAGCGAGGAAATAGGCAGATTACCTCGTAAACGCAAAATTTGTTTTTGCTTCTTTCTAAGTTTTTTTGATCCTTCCTAAATTTTGTTTGATCCCTTTTAAATTTCCTTTTGACCCCCCTCCCACAGAAGCCCGGGTGACGTCGATAAGTGTGTGGTCACGAGTCACGCTTGTCTTCTTGTCTTCTCAGACTGGGCCTTGGTACAAGCCCCAGGTCGCCTGACTTATCACGAATCCGAAAGCAGCCCGAGCTCGAATTGTGGCTCAGCCCAGAGAAGAAGTCCTTGTCCGGTTCCGAGTTCGCAGGCACCGCAAGCTCGTTTCTGCAATTCACACGCAAGCTTGCTAAAGAAATCTGTAGCAGCACAAACTAACGAGTACAGCTCCCGCCAACAGCCTCACAGAGTCCAGCTGACGGATCATTGCGCACGATGTGACCACCTTACGTCGTCGCATGCCGGCCACGTCTCACAAAAGCCCGAAGTCCAAAAAAAAACACCCTCGAGGTACATGCCCAGTGCAGGTTCGCATCGAGGGGTCCAGACTGACGACGGTCGTACAACCATGTACAACCAAACACCCCAAGTGGCTCAGCACGTCATCCACTATGGCATGGCCACTCTAGCAGCAACTGTCAGAAGATCTGCTTTGCAAGTTGCACCTCTGCCTTGACTGTTCTTGCCAGCATTGTTGACACCTGCGAGTGCGAAGGCGTCTACAGTCTACAGTCGCACATCAGGGCATTGACGACATTGAGGAAAAACAAATGGAAATGTGGCGTTGTTGTTTCGTGCCCCTGTATCCGCACTTTACTGCATGGCACTCTAAAGAATGATTCATCCTGGTCGGACAAGCTTAGGCTTAGGGCTTAGCACGAAATCGCACTTTTTCGGCGATCTTAGTGGGCTGAGCACATCCATTTGGCCCGTCGCCCGTTTGCCTTAACCTCGGGGCCAGATGCCCAACCCCCCAAAACAGAGCATCTGATGCTTCCCAGCCTCCAGAAGAAGCTGCAAGAGATCATCGTCCTCAAGCTGCAGTCTTGTGACTTAAAAGCGCATACATCGCCTCCCCATGGCTTAGACTTCTTCTGGCGGGGAAGCTCATGTCGCAACCCAGCTCCTGCGAAGTCATTGAGATCCAGCCTTGGACTCGCAGCGCTCGCAGGTCGTGCAGCTACAACACCCTATCCCCACTTGTACATCAGACACCGAATCTCCTGTGTATCCGTCTGAGCACACGTCGAAGAGTCCAGAGCAATGTCCTATCTAGCCCGACGTGCGCCACGTTCAGAGCTAGTGCGCTTCAAAGAAGGAGAGTCGGGGCCCCACCGTTCCAGAGCAGTCTTGTCAGATGACAGCCATCCAGCGTGATGGACCTTCCAATGCGAAGCTGCCCTGCTTCGATGATTCGACTAGTCTCAAGGATGGCCACTGGATGTCACCGGCCTTGACAAGTTTCAGCACGCTGCGGACGAGATCAGCCTCGCGGACCAGGTAAGTGTTAGGTTATCAGCCCCTTTGGGAGTTCCTGCAAAGCTCCGCAGGAAAACAGGCGCTGTCTTTTGGGAGCAAGTTTGGTCAGTTGCAAGCTCAACTCGGGGACCTGATCATGGTACAGTGCAGGGCCCCCAGCCCGGGGCTTCAGATACAAGGTGCGAAGATGTGCCGTGTAACAGTGTAGCTCCGGTATGCTGATCGAAAGCTTTCTATAAAGAGCCATAAGAAATCGCAGTTCCGCGGAAGATCTTTGGATTTCGGGCCGGGGTGGGAAATCCAATCATGCAGCCCTATGCCTATGCGTACACAGGTGAACACACCTGGGGCATGTGATGGCAGCTCAGCTTGGGATGTGGAGAGGAATCTGAGCTGCAGCTGCACGCTCTTCGTGCAGTTGGTGAATTGCTGGCGCTCTGTACAAGATGACGTCTCAGTCTCACTTGTATGATTGCACCTTCGAGGACAAGAGTTCGGCCAAGGGGCCCAGCATCTTGTTGAAGGAGAGCCTGGACATCGAAAGGACCTTGGCATTTTCACTCTCCACAATGACACTGGCTGCCCGTGGCTGGTTCTTCAAGAGAGCGAGCTCACCGAAGTAGTCGCCGACCTTGTAGTCCATAACTCGTTTGCTACTGCCCTCGATGTCCTTTAAGGCATAGAGCGTGCCTTCCTCGACGATGTAGAACTTGTCGCCGGGATCATCCTGCTTCACAATGCAGTCGCCTTTCTGGAACTTCTCCGGCTTCAGAGCATCAGCAATCTGGGAACGCTCGTAGGCTTCAAGCGACGCGAGAAGGGTGACGGACTGAAGGAACTCATCGTACTTATTGCGGCGGGCCACGGCAGCATCCTTGACGATGTAGTTGAACGACTCGCGATCAAGCTCCCAACAAATGCACTCGTCCTTTGCAACCACGGAGGCCGCACGAGGGCAATTGTAGAGCAAAGCTAGTTCGCCGAAGACGTCGCCCTCGTTCACTGTCTTGACAACCTTGTCTTCCCCGTTGGATGCCTTGATGCATTCCAGCTGTCCCTTCTCGATGACGAACAGGAAGTCGCCATTGTCCCCTTCGTTGATGACCTTCTCTCCAGCTGCAAACTTGCACTCCTTCATGGCGCCGAGTATGGTTGTCATGTCTTTGTCCTCCAAGCTCGAAAACATGAAGCTCTTGGAAAGGGTCTGCTTCAAGCGCTGCTTCTGCTCATCAGTCTTCGGATGGTCCGGAGGTGTAAAGGCCTTTTTTTGATTCCATGTCCCGTAAGCCTCTGCACTAACAGAGGTTCGGGTCTTGCCCATACTCTCCTCGGACTTGCGGAAGGATTCCGGGATCTCGTCACAGTCATCATCGTCGTCTTCCTCCTCTTCCTCTTCTTCGGCCGGCGCGGCTGCAGCTGTGCTAGCTTCTTCCAGAGATCCCTGCAAATAGCGCAGCTCCTGCTTCAGATTGTGGTTCTTCTGAAACACGGAGACCCTCTCTGTTGCGTCGGCAGCTCGCCCGGTTCGCTTGATGAGCCACTGAATCATGAAGTCCATTGGCACATTTGGCATCTCAGCCAACACGTCACTTACCATTTCTTCAAGGATCGGATCCAAGGTCTTGAGAATGTAGTCTTTCTTCTCCTCAGCGAACGGCAGGCCATCTACCACTGACATGGCGTCGCAACACTTAGGAGGCTGAGTAGCCTTCACAGATGCCAAGCAGTAGCCTGATCAGACTAGGCTTGAGCACTGAAACGGATGGTTGACAACCGCATCAAAAAGCTAGCACGCAGCAAACAACTTGACTGTCCAAAGCGTTGAAGATTTCCAGCACACGGGCAGCTGATGGCTGAGATTCTCGCTGCACCGGGCCAGGAAGTGTCTCCTGGGCTCGTCGCCCTTAGAACATCTCGCGGGCATCTCGGAACGACTCGGATTCCACTTTCCCGATTCACATAACTTGCTGCAACCTTGGGCCTGCGCCTCTGCAAAGCCAGCAGCACTGCCCTGGCCTTGCAAGAAATCTGCAAGCTTCTGAACCCCCTTCCGAGAAACAGGGTGCCCTGGCCTTGGGCCAGCGTGCGTCGACCTTTTCAAGCAGCTGCAAGTAAAACCACCAGAAGATGGAGGAGCGGAGCCAGAAGAGCGCCCGAGTGCCACGCCATGTCAGCAAACAACATCTGAAGCCTCTGCCTGCAGAGATGACGAAGAGAGCCAGAACCGGGCAAGCACTCCCGAATCACCTCATGTCAACCCACTCCTATGAGCATTTTGTGCGGGAACTTGTCAAGTGACTCGAGCGCGCAGGCACAAGCGAAAAGGACATGCGAAGGCTCTCTGCAGGCATCTCAGCAACGAATATTCAAGCATTCCGTACCTGCAAGACTTTCATGTGACGGCGGAATGATTGTTCGAAGCCGCATCCACGCTAGCTTAGCATCTTAGCTTGTCCGCGACTTTGAGACAGCATCTTATTTCGCTTCGGAAGATCGACCTGCGCTGCGGAAGGCCTGGCAGTGCTAGATGCAAAGCCGACAGAGTTTTGTGTTGAGCGTGCTGATGCTCCGCAAGATACATGAAGAAGCGCGGTAGAGATCAAATTTGGATCTTGCCTCTCTGCTCTCGCGTGGTCCGCCAGGACTTTGTGTGTGTGTGTGTGTCTTTAGGGCGAATTTTCTCCAATTCAACATGTCGTGCGAAGGGCGCCGTCCCTCGCACTCGGGACGGAAGGCGCTAAACAGGCGAGAAACCCATCCGAAACCCATGGCTGCCTGCATGTGGGCAGCAAATCTGCAACTCGTAGCGAGACTGAGACCAAAGCCTTTGCTCTGGCAAAGTATGCAAACGATCTCGTGTCTACTTCAACCCGTTCGCAGTGAAAGTAAGGTCGCATCCCTGACTGTGACATCAGCATCATCCAGCCTGGCAGACAATGGGCACAGGAAAAGAGCACTTTCCGAGAACCATCATTGCAAACAGCCGCCAGTCGTGCATCCGCATCAAGCTGACATAGTCGAGGTATCCTGGCACAACTTCAAAACGAGGCCGAGCCGCAATGTTCGCACTGTGCGCAAGTTACATCCCGTCTCAAACTTATCGACAGGGCAAAGTGGGGGCAAAAAGATGAGGAGGCCACAAGAGCTGGCACTCCTGGAACCGACTCCCGATCCCAAGGCAGCGTCAGCAGAGCATAGACCTGAGGCAGAGTCTCTTACGGCATCTTTCAGCTCTGGTCTCTTGTGCTGCTTCTTGCTAGGGAGGATCCTTGACAGTTCCTATGATTCGATGAATTGAGCAAGGGACCCTCAAACCAATCGGTACAAAAAACTGGTTGGTTTCCAGGCCCTGGCAAGGCCCAGAATCACAGAGTCCCGCTTGTTGGATCCGTCCTCAGCATGGTCAAGCCGAATGCTGTAAAATCCCCCTGGCCCTGACTTAGTCTCGACACAAGGAGAGAATGAATATATATATATATATATATATATAGATAGATAGATAGATAGATAGATTTGGTTTAACCGGCTCTGAGCCCCTGGCCGCCAGAGAAAACAGCTCCGTCAGGACCATTCCATGTGGAGCGCAGGGATCTGAGGTCGATGTGTGAGATGCTGGATGCTTGCCTTTGATACAGTCTGCACTCCTAGCAAGAGGCCTGCTGTGTATTTCTCCAAGTTCAGGCCATGCCGGAGAAGCACCTCAGTCCCAAGCGTCGGACTCCGAAGGCTTCGATATCTGCGTTCAACGAGCTTGTTTCCTGGAGGATAGATTGCAGGCTCACAGTATCAGTGTTCTTGAATGAAGTGGTATTCTCAGCCACTGACTGTATGAAGGCCTGTCCAGTAGCAAGCAAGATGTGTCTACCAGAATCGAGAATCGAGACTTGCCTGCAAAATGAAGTCGGGCAGCCGCTTCGATGGCATCGGGCGGCTCCAAGGGCCTAGAAAGCAAAGAGATCTGCTTTCGATGCTACAAGTCGGAGTCGCCACCCTGAGTCGCCACCCTTTGGCAGTAGTAGTAGCAGTAGCAGTAGTAGTACTATTATATAGTAGTAATAATAGTAATAGTAATAGTAGTAGTAGTAGTAGTAGTAGTAGTAGTAGTAGTAGTAGTAGTAGTAGTAGTAGTAGTAGTAGTAGTAGTAGTAGTAGTAGTAGTAGTCCACCTGGTCCTGTACCAGCCCCCAAGGCTCAGGGCTGACGAGAGGTTTTCGGCCTGCCGGATACGAGGCCAACATAGGCGACAGGATGGCGGCGCTGGTCCTGGGTCCTCGCCTCCATCAGCCATCACTGTGACGAGAAACCAGATCTTTCCTTCTCCAGCGTTCTTTCTTCTGCGTTCTGACCGCTTTGCGATTGCAACTGGGTTGCTGGGATCGTGCGGTACCAAGTCATGAGTCCTAATTCACGGCTTGAGCATTCAGCTGCCCATAGAAGAGCAAACTTGGCATGGTCGGTGCATCGAAAGTGCAGGCAAAGTGTGCCACGAATGCATCTGGCGCACGGAAGTTTATGCTAAGTTCAGCATCCGCTCTGCCGCATCAGTTTCCGAAGAGAGCTTATAATGTCTGCTGCAGCAGCTCATGCTTGGAACGGAGCCACAGGTTCTGAATTGTGTGCTGACACGTGCAGGCACGTCCCCAGCAAAGCAGCAACGTGGTGTGAAACTTGTCTTGGCACTAGAGCCGCTAAAACCCGCTAGACTTCTCTTGATCACGACTCGTTTGAGCCGCACCACCTGCTTCAATGATGGCATCTGGGGCATATGTTACCTCGTGGATAAGAATCTGATGCCGACAATGCTGAAGCTGATCGCATGCAATGCTCTGGAAGGAGAGTTCTCGGATTTTTCTTGATTGCATGCTGCGGCTGAAAAGTACTGCAAGGGTCTGCAGTAGCTTCTGTCAGGTTGCTAGGCCGTATGCCCATTTCAGCACGGCATCTTCGCAGTACAGTTAGCATCAAGCTGTCATCAAGTGAAGAAACGCGTCAGATGTACCCAGCATAGTACAGACGCCAGGTTGTGAGACATACTGCCGAGAGCTCCACGTCACACAAGAGGTCGAAAAACGTCTTTTGAAACCTTGGAGAAAACACAGCCAACTTGCCGAGGGTCAGCAAAGCTCGGTGCCCGATCAGTAAACTGTACAGGCACAGCACTGCTGCCACGAAACCTTCTAGCAGCATCGAAGTCCGTCATGTTGCTGCCGCTGGAACCGGAAAGGAGCAGTGGCAAGACTGCACACAGAGCTAGGAGGAAGGCGGTCGCGGCCGTGGTTTTCCAGATACTCTTCAAGAATTTGGCCAGATCGGTCCTGAATGATGACCATGTTTTGCTCCTCCTACAGCCTTCCTAGCCTGCACCCTTTCAACTTTGCCTGAAGCTCGTCCCTAACCCCCTTGCTGTCCTTCTCACAGAGTCAATGCCATAGGCACCGGTGGCGAGTGCTGCAATCAGCCAACAAGTTGTCAACACAGCCCCGTGGGCCAGTATAGCTTTGCTTGAACCGGTATCCGTCGTGTCCCAGAGCAGCGTCCACTGGGGTGTATAGACGCCTGTCTGTGCCAAGGCGACGATGATCAAAGCAGGCACGATGATGCCAGAGACAACCATGTCGCCCAACAGCAGCCTTCGAGATACGGGGGTGGACTCCTCCAGCTCCTCCAACCTTGCGGCAGATTGAAACTCCCGTCGCATCGGTCTGAGTGTGAAGCCCTGCCAATTTGGCTAAGAGTCTCTTCCATGTCTGCTTCGTCCTCTTCCCCTGCAAACGGGAACTGCAAGGTTCAAGCACTTCGCGCCGGTTGCCCTTTGTGTGGCTCGTGTTGCCCTTCCATGGCATGAGCAAAGCTGCTGGTCCCAAAGTACTCTCGGAGCGGTTCGCTAAGTACTTATTGCGAACATGTTCGCACGTTCACATAGACCATTCTAGACGTGTGCAAGACCATGTCATGACTCAGGTTATGTGCGCGCTTGAGCTTTTACAACCTATGGCAAGAGAGCACAGCACATGAAGACATACCTGGGATATCCTGGGATCATGTTCACCAGCTCCGGCCAACCGGCCTTCCCACCTACCTAATAACCACCCATTACTGTATGCATGCGCGTTCAAGCACACGTGCGTTGACAGGCTTGCTTTTAAACTTATCACCGGTCATGCATGCATGCCCAGATGCATGGACGTACATTACATACACTGAGACAGCTTCTGTACATATTCATATGCAATCATCTGTCATGCCCAGGCGTGTTGGAAAACCTGTACAGATACACGGGATACATAAGCTGATGTCTTTGTTCCAAATGCTGTTCTCGCGATGTTCCTGCAGCTCATGTAACGTATGCCTGCATTGGGTTCGCATTGCCTTGCCCCGAGTAGCACTGTACAGTCATGCGTGCTCCTTGATGCCATGCACCAAGCATTCTGCAATTTGTGGCCATGCAGCGAGACTTCGCAAAACAGGATGCATGCAGGATCGTGCTGGTCAGTATGTATGCAAGCATGAATGCATGCATGCGGGTGTATGCCCACATACGACACCAAAGGAACGGGGATAGACACTTGGTCGTGCGACCGCTTGCCTGCTGCATCCAGGCCTGATCCTTCAACCGAGACGGCTCGTGTCAGCCGCCACGCAATAAGACACCACACCTGTGGGCGAAGGTTCGAAGGTATGTTGGGCCTTTGGTCTGGAAACTGTTTCTGTTTGCCTGCATGGGTCCTCATGCGCTTCGCCAACCGCGTCTCAGAGACTTCTTCCGTCTTACTCAGCAAACCTCCCGCAACTCAATGCCTGCCTCAAACTGGAGGTCGATGAAGAAGTCTCGGAAAGTCGGCAAGATGCCTGCGCTGGTCACCTGGGTTAGACTTGAACTAGTCTCTTAACGTCTGGTATGTGTCCAGAGATAGGAAAGATAGCTGCACTATGCAACTTTGCAGCATAACCCAGCGCCGCATAGCTGTCTGGGAGCCAGCCGTTTGTCCTTAAAAGGAGCCAGGCTGAGCATGCCAGCCAAACTGTCGCCACAGCGGCCCATGCTGTCCGCTGAATCGTCTCCAGGAGGTTCTTAGGGTTTACAGCCTTGGTCTCGAAAGCACCAAGCGCGAGACCTCCCAGAAGCCAGCAAAGACCATACAACACGCCGTGGAAGTACTCGGGGAAAATGAAGCCAACATCACTGTCTGGAAGTTGCCGATACCAGTCTGGCTCGAGGGCACGAAGGAAGACGATACTGAGCAAGGGAGCGACGGCAGTGGTGATCCCTAAATCTCCAACCAGAGTCCAGCCGTTTGCTAGACTTGGCTTCGAAAGTCTTTGGGAGATGGTGACCACGTCAACTTCTTTCATAACGTCCAATTCCGAGGGCTTCTTCGCCATCGCGCCTCGTGGCTTGGCTTCTCGGCCCTCGACACTGCGTGGGAGCAGGCTCGGTCGAGCACAGATCCTGCGTTCTCCACGATTCCGCAAGGCAACCTTTACGGCTGCCAGCATGCCCGCTATCACAGGCAGGGATCGAGCCAAGCTATTCCCTGGCTTGCAGCAAGCTCTTGCTGCCACCTGTCGGTGAAGGGGCTGAGAAGACTGTGAGCCCACAGAAGTGAGCGGGAGTCGCTGACCCCATGGCAAAGATGGGTGCATCATTGCTTCAACCAGTTGCTTCAGGTCCAGTAACGAGGTAGATGTTGTGCAAGCGAGGCAATGCATCGTGTTGCATGAGCTTTGTTTGCAAAAACTCTAACCTGACTCGAGCCACTGACGAGAGCAAAGTGGTCCAGTGCGTAGCGAAATACGACTCCACGACATGCTGTGCCAAAACCGCATGCTGTCGAGGAAAGCGGATGTTCTCAGGACCTGGAATCCACAACGACCTCCATGCCGTGAACGGATGCCAACCTCGATACAAACCCAGGCTTCACGAGATCTGTTGCAAACCCACCAACTTGCAACTTGCCGTCTTGAGAATGGAGCCATCTCTTCCACGAGCCAACATTAACCTGCCAAGAGACGCAACCGGAGGAAGTTGGGCTCAGAGCAGGAAGCTGTGGATTATAGAACGTTGTGCAGAGTCATCCAGAGACTTCCTTCGTCCTCAACCCTGACCATGACTGATTACCCCACATCTGAACGAAACCCAAACTCCAAAGCCACAAGCTTCTTGACACTGTAGGCCGGGCTTATTCCTTAGTTATGAACAGTATCAGGCCAGGGCAAGGGTGATAGACACGCCCACCACCCTGGAAGAGGGGCCACAACTCCCGGGCACCTCTGTTTGCAGAAAACTTCCTTGAAGAGGCCTGCCCAGGTCGCTCACCTGGCTGCAGCTACTGAATAGCTCTTGTGCGAAGCTAACCGTACTTGCAGATTTGTCAAAGTGTCTACAGACATGCTGCCCGGCTCAGCCAGGGCTTAGACCTGCTGTTTTCAGATTGCTGCAACCGCGCACGCTGGAATAGGGGCCTTCCGATTGCTTACCTTGCTGGCTGAGGGGACCAGCTGCCTTGGTGCAACACAGGCCTGATCAGGTCCCACATTATGATGTAAAATGATTGTAACAATAACAATACCTATTCGAGTATGTGTGTCTGTCTACACACACAGATACCGAGTTATGCGTACAGTCAGCTCAACTATATAAATACCTTGTCGGGTCGTTGTGCCGTTCTCTCTCCTGTTTGCTTGTATTGATGTCCAGATCGGTGTGATCTGTGTCTGCTATGTTTCTGTTCTGACACCCCCAGGGCCTGTGGCAGGGCACCCGTGTCTCACCACTTCGGTGGTGGGCCAGGACCTCTTCTTCCGGGTCCCTCACCTGGCGGTCTAGAGTCGAGGGACTCTTTGGGAATCGAGACAGGGCCTAGATATAAACTGGCAAGCCTTACGGGAATACATTCCCTGCGGAGCATCGAAGTAATCCTGCAGTTCTGACGGCTCTGCACCTGCTGTGCAGACATGTCTGAACGGCCTGCTCCGCATCGATGTGCTCTGCACCTGGCGCATCTTCGAATTAAGTGCTCACTGCCAGACAAAGCTCAGGATTCCCAGATACCGAACGAGGTCTGCTGACCTCCCCGGTCACCACCACGGTTCTTCCTCCCACCTGAGAACCAGAACGGACAGTGTTGCGACGGCTGAAAGCACAGACGCCAGGAGAAAACGCGCCTCTGGTGCCACGGGTTGTCCGCTTTGAATACGGCAATGAGATCTGGGCTCAGGAGACTAGCAAAGCATACCTAGAGGCCTTGGCTTAAACACGGCGGCTGCACAAGGCACTTGTTCCGGTCGAAGAGTGCGCTCGCCTCGAAGCCGGCACCAAGTAGCCACCTTGACAGATGATTGATCCAATGATTGGTGCCATCCTAGCCGAGTTGCAAGCCGCAGCTCTGAGAACCGCGCTTTTTGAAACTACCATCGTTTTTTCTTTCCTCGGTTTGGAGCTCAGACTTTTAACCTCTCTGTGGTTCACGTTTCGTTCACGTCAAGCTGGTTGAAATGCTGCAACTACGATTGTCATCTCGCCCTGCAGCCAAAACTCATGGCTGTAGCCACTCCGAGGATCAGCTCGGACCTGGGCAGGCACGACTCGTTGCCACACGTCTTTGCTAGAGAAGTCCTGCATCTCACGGCTTTCCTCGCGAGCTGCTAGTGTCACTGACAGACCATCACTGCTCGACACTCAGCTTCTGCACTTCGTCAAATCATCCACACCAGTGGCGGACCCCAATTCAATTGCTAGGGAACTGTTTGTCATCGTGGCACTCGCTGACCACTGTCAACGAACCCCCGCATGCCTAACCCTAAAATGCAAATTATCCCCAAACACCCCTTCATCTCAAAGCTCTTCATCCTGGCTCTGAGAATTGTCGTTCGCACGCGGTCGGGAAAGCAGCAGCACAGTGGAAGCAGGAGCTCAAGACTTAATGTCGATGAAAGCCCGGCATCCGAAACGTCAGCAAAAGCCGAGGAGCCACTGCGTTGAAGCGGCCAGCGAACATGGAGGCCAACTCCTGAACCTGTCCCACTTCACTCGCCACGGGATCCATCCCCGAAAGTTGTCCGGGCCTCTTTAGGACCGGTCGACAGGAACTCCTGGACGCTCTCCAGCAAGTTGTCCTGGCACAAAGTCGGACTTACAGAGCTGCCAACAGTTTGTCGAATGCTGCGCCTCTGTCTCACCGTCCCACTGAGACCAGTCTTCTTCAGGCCAGGCCTGCTCAGGGTATCGGCAAGAGCTCGGTGCCTTCCTCTTTTCAGGCTTCGTTGGGCACGGAGAAATACTACGAGTAGTTCCCTCTTTGCCATCGCATCAAATCCCATTTTATTTATTTGGTTTGTTGGAGGGCAGCAAACGTTCTGCGACCTGCCCCGACGATCAATCTCAACACGGTCAGCTGGGTAAGCCTGCTCATATCCATCGTAGCCATCCCGCTTCCTTCTGCCTGACATCAAGCATGAGGGAATCAGAGGCGGGCTTTGGCTACTCCTCCGACACTTGCGCTCAGACAAGAGTTCACATCGACGTGCTTCAGCTTCTCTTGGACTTCGTGCAGGTCCGAGTCTTCAACGGAACATGTATCCTCTCGGGCGGTGCACCTCGAGGCGCGCCCTGGTGGTTCCAGCCACCTTCGCCGCCTGAGATGCTCGAGCTGTGCCTAGCTTCAAGCACGGTTCACACAACATGCTTCTTGGGTATGGGTTCCCGTGAAACTTGAAGCGCTTCAACCCTTCAGCTACATGCAACCCTGTCAACCAGGAACAGCATGAAGAATAAGGAACCGCAGTGCAAATCCGCTTGAAGTTTGAGTCCACACCCACACATACTCTATTGGAGGCCCAGGCACTGACAACAAGACCCGAAATTGAATCTCTATGTCGCTTTCAAGCTACATTCGACACGAAGCGCCACTACCGGCTACTCAAGTTCGAGACTGCGACAAGTCCTGCTTTGCTGGAATTCAACAGACCTGAACCCACAAATCCCGGCACCGGCGGCACCTCCTCCGTTCCATCCGGGTCCCCAGTCTCTAGGGTTCAACCACTCCGCGGCCTCACGGCCCGCCGCCGGGCCCAGCCCCGGCTGCGGCTCACGTTCCCGTCTCTTGCTGCGGCTCTCTCTTCCAGGTAGGGAGAAAGGGGGACGTCCCCGTAGAAGCGCTGATACAGCGCTAGTCTCTCTCTCTGTGCTGTCCTCGTCTCGCCGTGACTGAAAACAGGGCAGAAGCCTAGCCGTGTCCGACGGCCTTGTCTTTCTGCGACTTGGGAACGTTCCAGCCACCAAGCAGGCGGGGTCTTCTGCTGCCTCTATGACATGGCAGCAAAGCCGCTTGCTGTGGACACACTTTCTGTACGACAACGCTCTGACTCACAATGCAGAGCGACTCCCAACCGAGGCCTCCAGCAACGCGCTGGGCAGCAAAGATCAGAGGTGCAGGGGACTGCAGCGCGAGTTGCTCATTTCATTTTCGGCCGTCGGAAGTATGCGACTACTACGGTACTCAAGTCACTGCTGCAGGCCACTGCACGTCCTGCATCAAACACTGGCGGTGCAACTCCAGGTAGCTGTTCTCCTCTCCGGCATCTGCCGCCTGAATCGACGCCGCCACGTCCAACGCTTCAGCAACCTCCAGGCACTGCACGTGGCACCTCGCCGTTTCCACCCAAGGCCGTGATGAAGACCAGGGTGACCAGGCTGGTTGTTGCCTGTCTGCTGGCAAGCTTACCGTGCCTCATCCCGTCGGTCGAAATCGCCTTGATTAGCGACCACCAACATCGGCTTAGCGTCCAAAGAGCCTCATGATGACGGGGTGGCGCATGCGTTTTCTCCGCTGCCTCGATTGTGAGTTCTCTGTTGCGTGCATCTGACGCATCATACGGCGTGTCTGCGAAGGCCGCCACCAGGTAACCTGCCACATCGCTGTCCGGAGCAACACTCGCTCCTCGATCCAAGGCTTGCAGCGGGCCTGGCGTGACATGTGCTGCGGCAGGTAAACCTTCGGGGTCCTCAGATGTCGCAACGTTTCGCAGTTCTCTCAAAAAGCAGCTGTCCAATGGTCTTGGAACCTTGTCAACTTGTGACACCCACACAGGCGGGCTCCCGGCCGCACCGGCGATGCAGAAGTCAGCCGGAAAGACGGACGCAGCATCTCGGTGTGGGAAAAAACGCAAGATCACGAAGATGCGACCAGGACTGGAGTCTGGTGAACCTGCAAACTGGCGACAAAGCAAGACGACTGTGACCAGCGGTGAGGCCAGGACATCGACAGGGACTTGTTTCTAGGCCTCGCGCTTACAGATGTCTCAACTTCGAGCACCGCCAGCTTTGAGAGGTCCACGTCTTGTGGCAGCATCTGACAAAAACGATGCACTCGCAACGATCTGAGACTAGGACTAGAGTCTGACAGTCATAAAGAATTTGAGGAGAAGCCAATTTTCTTCATGCAAGATCCGCAGCCTCCCAAACAAGCTTCCCTGCTTTGGCAACGCCTCTGACGGCT